TTTCTCCTGTGCCTTTGTGACAGCCACCAAAAGTAAGTGTATTGAAAATATGACCCATCCAGGGTTATAACGACAAGTGTTATCATTGCAGCAGAACATTGCCCTAATGCTTAAATGTCCTGAGGTGTTTGAGGGAAAGAGCTTTGCTTTCCACTGAACAATCCACCTTAGAGATGATCCTGTGTGTCAACAAATACAGAAATACATTGGCATTTTAATGGGTGCTGAGTATTCAGTTATGTGGATATCGCATCATTTATATTAATCACTATTCCTGAACATTTAGGCTGTTCACAAATTTTAACTATTTTTTTAAATGTAGTGACCATTCTTGTATATACATCTTTGCATGCTTATCCTATTATCTCTTTCAGACAAAGTCCTATAAAAACACTCTCTAATTAGAAAAATCACTGTATGGATTGGTTTCTTACCTCTCTGTAAATACATGAACCCAGGATCCTGTCTTTAAGAACAATTTCATTCTTACCTCCCTCCCAGCGTGCTAGTCTCCCTCTCCTGCACCCTCCTCTCAGATACTGTTCTACCCTAAGTCATATCTGGATGCTCCTGCCAAATCTATTGCATTGAAGATGGCAGCCTGGAGTGTGGAGGAAGGGGGTGATGGTGGAGGAGGAGTTGGATGAATCAAGGGAAGGAAGAAAAAAGTCACATGTGTTAGTATGCTATTTATTTTTAATTGCCACGACTTAGAGGTAGGCAATAAATTCTCTAACATATGCACTCTGTAGGAGAGTAAAAACTGGCCCCAGAGCACAGGGCTAGTAAGTAAAGCCAAGGTCTGTCTGAATGCAGAGGCCATTTTTGCTAGATTTTATCATTTGTTGAAATGTTTTCTGCTGTCCCTCTGGGACAGTTATACTTCTCGTCCCATCACTCTAAGGCTGGGCCCTGTAACTTGCTTGGGTCAATGAAATGTGAGTGGGATGGATAGTGCCACCTCTCAGGAGAAGGTTTTTTTGTTTGTTTGTTTGTTTGTTTGTTTGAGATGGAGTCTCGCTCTGTCGCCAGGCTAGGGTGCAGTGGTGCGATCTCGGCTCACTGCAACCTCTGCCTCCCAGGTTCATGCGATTCTCCTGCCTTAGCCTCTCGAGTAGCTGGGACTACAGGCGTGCACCACCATGTCCAGCTAATTATTGTATTTTTAGTAGAGATGGGGTTTCACCATGTTGGCCAGGATGGTCTCGATGTCTTGACCTCATGATCTGCCCTCTTCGGCCTCCCACAGTGCTGGGATTACAGGCGTGAGCCACCGCGCCCGGCCAGGAGAAGGCTTAAGAGCCAGCGTGTGTTTGGGCTGTAGCTCCTTTTCTTCTGCTATGAGTCTACTATGCCTCAAATGAGAAGCTCCTTCAGCCTGAATCCTGAAATGCAGAGGACGGGAAATAGAGCTGCAGGTGACCTGCAATGGGCACTCAGTGTCAGCAAGAAGTAAATGTTTGTGGTTGGAAGCTTCCAAGTTAGGGGGTGGTGTTTGTTACTGCAGTGTCACTAGCCTAAGCTGTCTGATACAACCATGCTCTCTCCATTTCACACTCTTGCCTCTCTCTTCTGAGCCTTGCCCTGGTCATTAGCCAAAATGTTTCTATCCTTTCCTTTGGTCATAGAAAAATGAGAAAAAAAAAACTTAAAAAATCTAGCAATGTCCTCTACTAGGTCCACATTTAGACTTATTTTTAGTCTTGATGTTTTTGGTGGCTTTGTCCCACGATTCCCTCAGCTGTAGAGAGGTAGACATTCCCACCATACATACAACTCCTGGAATAGGGCACACTATCCAGAGTGAATAAACACTGTTTTATTGACAACCTGCTTTTCCTTTGAAATTCTTTTCTCAATTCTGAACTTTTTTCTGGATAGTCTGATTTGGCTTCAAATCTATTTCTTCTGCTATAATTCAGAATGGTAGAAACATAAGCCTAGCTCTTCGGGAGCCTGTTTTAAAGGGATGGTTTGATATATTTAGCTTACTTCCTGAGCATGTTCTCTTCACATCTTCACATGGCTGGTGACAAATGAGGGCTTGCTCTAGTAGGTTACCCCAAAGTGTAAGAAGTGAAATCATGTGACTGCTCTAATATAATATTTCGTGTCAGGTGCAAAGCTAAAGTAGAGCTCTGGTCCTTGCTTCTGACCCTTGGTTCGTTTTAGAAACTTCTCTGTCGTGTTGTCCAATTAAAAAGTAATTAATTCACTTATTCAACAAATATTTATGGGACATACACTGGTAGCCCATGCAAAGATTAAACAAGCAAGGTCTCATCTCCCAAGACGGCACAACTTAGTGAAGGAAGAAGTAAATATTCTCAGCTGTCCAGGAGGATAAGCTGGGAGGATCACTTGAGGCCAGGAGTTTTAAACCAGCCTGGGAAACATGAGACCTTGTCCTAAAAAACAAACAAAAAATAGTAAATACACGATGGCAGTAGAATGGAAAGAGATCCACATCTCGTTGGTGCAAGGGCCCAGAAAAAGGACTTCTCAACAGGACTTGAAGGGGGAGGTCGCACAATCCAGCATAAGGGAGGGACACTTGAGCTGAGGTTTGGATGACTGTGGGGCACCGGCGCAGCAACAGGAAAGGGCACGTCCGGCAGATGAATGGCAAGGGCACAGGCACAGAGGCACACAGCAGCTTGGCAGGTCGTGTGAAGGTGGCTTGCATCTCGAGGGTGGGTACCAGCTCTGCCTCTGCCTGCCCACTTCAACTGACAAGCCCAAGTCCAAGGGGAGGCATGGATTGCCCAGTTACTCTGGGGCTGGTTCGTGAGGTTTTGAAAGTCATTTGGCACTCACTGGCCGCCTTGTCAGAGGAAGAAGCCCCCGCGTGCCTGCGGATATAGCTAATGACTGGAAGTCCGTTTCTGGCAGTACCGCCCATCAGCCCTGCCTCTTTTTATTTTGACTTCAGCGTTATGTTCTAGTTAAGAAAATTTAGTTGGTGGCTCTGACATATCAATCCTGGCAGCTTAAAATCCACTGTTGACAAACTAGGCTGCTCCTCCCTGCAAGCCTCAGGGCAGCAGCTCGTGGGGAAGTCCTAAGCAGTCAGGATTTTGGGAGTCAGAGTCTGAAGCTGAGTTGTGGAAGGGAAAAAGAAGAGACCTCTGACCATCACCATCTCCACAAGCATGGACTATACCAAGGCTCAGCATGAATCACTAATTAGAGCATAGCTGTCTTTGCGTTTGTTGGGCATCCTAACCACTACATCAGCTAGAGTCCTTCACTGCGAGCAAAGAAATCCAACTCTGGCTAACTTGAATCAAAGGGAATTTATCAGAAAAACAGGCCAGGCAGAGTGGCTCACACCTGTAATCTCAACGCTTTGGGAGGTTGAGGCAAGAGGATCACTTGAAGCCAGGAATTTGAGACCAACCTGGGCAACACACCAAACCTCATCTCTACAAAAAGTAAAGATATTAAAATATAAAAATTACTCGGGCATGGTGGCACATGCCCAGCATCTTAGCTACTTGGGAGGCTGAGGCGGGGAGGATCGCTTGAGCCCAGGTGTTTAAGGCTGCAGTGCTTCATGATGGCACCACTGCACTCCAGACTAGACAACAAAGTAAGACCCCCATCTCTCCCTTCCAACAAAAAGCAAAAACTATTGCTTTTTTCTTAAGCACTCACAGAATCAATAGGAACTTTGAGAGCCAGGTTTGAAACTGTAACAACAGGGAGCACATAGATAGCATTGAGTATGTGCCAGGTGCATTTTACGTTTATTAAGTCACCTAATCCTCACTATAACTCTGTTAGGTACCTACTGCTATTACCCGCCTTTTACATTTGAGGAAAATGGGGGCAGGGAGAGTAAGTGACTCACCTAATGTCACGGAGTCAGTGAGCTGGGATTCAAACCCAGGCATTCTGGCTCCAAAGGCTTCCCCAAGTTTGAAGAAGCAGCGTGTACAGGAATACTCTAATAGCAGGGTCTGCTCAAGGAACTATGGAACAAACACTCATCTCTCCAGGTCTCTTTGTTTCTTGTTCAATTTTGAATTCCAAGGAGTTATCATCCTGCTGGCCTAGAATAGGGTGTTAACGAATCCACTGAAAACTGAAAAGAAATGTTTTTAAAAAGAGACTATTCCAACCAGCAGTTTGCCAACCAGGGAGACTCAGCCTTCAGTATAAAACCAAGGCACGTCTGCCAGAACAAAGAGAAGGGCTATCTTGCATAGAAAAAGTTTCTGCTTAGATTCTAATTCCAGTTCCCACTGCATCTGAGGGATGCAAGCTTGTTCAGTTCTGATTTGCTGATGTTAAAGTTGACCACAGGTCACATTTCATTGGTCAGGTTCAGGTGGCAGAATGAGGACTTCGGCAGCAGTTGATTCTGGCAGTGTGAGCAGGAACAGACAGCCAAGAAGTCCCCAGCATTGAGCTACTGTTCCGCTTGCACAGGGCATGTATGTAACCTGCAACAGGCAAAGGCTTTCAGCGCCACTCAGAAATCAGACCCTGGTAGCCCCTCAGCATCCATCTCGAAGGGCTGACTCTCTCAGGGTTCACACAGGAATGTGCCTACCCCTTGTCAGAAGGCAGTGGTACTGGAGTCCTAATTCCAGCCCCACCAGGCTGTACTCAGTGGAGAAAAGGCAACTTCTCAAAGCAAAACTGGGATACTGTTATGGAGGATAATGGAAGGTCAATGGCAGGAAAACAATGGTCCCTGCAGCTGTCGGGGAAGCTCTCTCTGGGGTTCTCATTCTACCCAGAACCACCATGTGCCAGTCCCTGAACCCAGGGCCTCCCATGCACGCCGTCATTAAACCTTCAGGCAGGTCTTTGGGGTGTGTATCATTACCCCAATTCACAGGTGAAGACACAAAATCTCACAGAGGGCAAGAAACTAGGTCACGTAAAATTAGGGTTTGAATTCAGGGCCCAACCCTGAAGCCCAGCACTAAGGGTTGCTGGATGAACGCCCAGCAGTGCTCCTGAATGGGTGACCGGCAGGTAGGGGAGGGTCAGCTTGTTCTGCTCACCGGGCCTAGGTAAGTGTGGAGCTGAGCTGGTGCCTGGACTTCCAGAGAGCGGGGCACCTCAGTCACCATCTGCTGGCACCTAAATCCGAGTTGCTGGCTCCATGGAAAATGTGCCAGCCTGTACTCCATGGCATCCATTCCCGCACCTTCCACCCTTCTCAGGATTCCAGAGCCTTTATCTGAAAACTCCCGGAGAGAAAGGAGTCTCCCCTCGCCCCTGGACCAGCTCTCCCTCCCACCCTCCTACCCTGGAGGGATCTGAGAAAAGAAAAGAAAGGAAAGTCAAAAGGGGGAATGGCTCCTGTTTTCCTCACCTGAAGTGGGGAAGAACTTAAAACAGCCCAAACAAGTGGAACCCAGGAGCTTCCAACACGGCGGAACCCCGAGGAAGTCTGTGTTCCGGCCCCCAGTGCAGGACCAGGGAGTGAGCTGGGATGAACAGGCAGCGAGGGGAGGCCACATCAAGAGTGAGAAGTGGGATCCCTAGTAGGAGACATAGAGGACGCCTTGGGCTGCAGTGCTGGGACCTTTGCCTAGGGGAGCCCAGACGCGTCCTGCCCTTTTGCAGCTCCCCAGAGCGCACGGCACGAATTCAGTGAATTCAGAAGACACTGTTGAGTGGCCGTTCTGCACAGGCTCTGTACTAGGGACACAAAGATGATTGAACGGCTCACTCTGGAGGTCCTGATCTAGCGAGGGACACAGTCAAGTAGATAAGTGACTAAGACCTCAGACAGATGGTGGCGAGGGCCACAGTCGGAGGTAAGCGAGAGGTGATGGCAGAACAGAGAAGACGGACCACAAGAGTTCATGGGGTCTGCGGGAAGACTTCGTGGAAAAGGAGGATTTGAGCTGGACGTGGGCAAGCTGAGCTAGAACTGGAGATGGCTGTGATAAATGGCGGTGACAGCTGGGACAAGGGCTCGTGACTAGGGGAGAAGAGAAGGAGGCGGGGGTCTTCTGGAAGGCAGGTGCTTGGGTTGCCGATTATCCCAGGGAAAGAGAAGGGGATGTTCCCCGTGGGCAGAACTCACCTCCCTCGGTGAATGGATGAAGGGCTTGACAGCCAGGCTGAGGCGCTCCCACTTTGTTCTGCATGAATCACAGCCGTGGAGACCTTGAACCCAAAAGGCCAGAAGGAGAGACAAGAATATGTTCTGGCAAAAACAGGATTTCTTCCTGAAGAAGGAGCGCACCTCTAGTCGGAACAGGACAGATCGGGCCTGCTCCGGATGCCTGGTTTCAGCAGTGCATCTGTGGGCCTCCTTTTGGTCCCTCTGTATTCGTTTGCTAGGGTTGCCAGAACAAAGTACCACAAACTGGGTGGCTTAGAACAACAGAAATATATCATCTCACAGTTCTGGAAGCCAGAAGACTGGAATCAAGGTGTCGGCAGGGCTGTGCTGCCCCTGAAGGCTCTGGGAAGGACCTGCTCCGGCCTCTCTCCCAGCTCCTCGTAGATCCTTGACAGCATAACTCCAATCTTCACGTGGTGTTTTCCCCGGCACATGTCTGTCTCTATGTCCAAATCTCCCCTCTTCATAAGGACACCAGTCCTGTGGGATTAGAGCCCACCCTAATGACCTCATTCTAACTGAATCACCTCTTCAAGTACGGTCACTTTCTGACGTGCTGAGGGTTAGGACTTCAACGTCTAAATTTTGGGGGACACAATTCGGTCCATTGCCCTTCCCCTGAGGTTGATCCAGGGTACAGACTTGCATTAAGCAGTAGGACTTCAACGTCTAAATTTTGGGGGACACAATTCGGTCCATTGCCCTTCCCCTGCCTGAGGTTGATCCAGGGTACAGACTTGCATTAAGCAGTAGGACTTCAACGTCTAAATTTTGGGGGACACAATTCTGTCCATTGCCCTTCCCCTGAGGTTGATCCAGGGTACAGACTTGCATTAAGCAGTATCTCCAATCATGTGAAAATGCCAGGCAGCCTTCCCCAGCCCAGCACTCCAGAGGCCTAAGGTGAACGCTTGGATGATGGGAAGGTGCTTCTCAGGTTGTCCGGGCAGCTTTCACCATCCTGCTGGAGGAAGGGGACGGCTTTACCCGCACATCCCACAACATCCACAGCTGCCCACCAGCGAGGCTAATGAGGATGCCCATCTCACAAGCATATGGTTCTCGACCAGGAGATCAATCTAAGTCTAAAAACAGAAAGCTGAAAGCTTCCTAGGCAAATGGTGTGACCAGGAAGTCATGGCTGTGTTAGTTGTTGGATCCCTCTTTATATTTTACCTGGGAAGACAGCATTTAAGAAGATGAAGGAAAATAGCCACATTTGAGCAACAACAGGGAAGAAAGAAGATGCAGGGACAAGACCTGCCTCCATTGGCCCCAGGTTCCCCAAGTGGGGAGTAGGATTTCAGGATAAAAGGAGAAGGAGGTCACCTGCCTGGCGGAGGAGTGTGCCTCAGTGGTATCTGTGCCTCTCTCAGGAGATGCTCAGAAATCAATTTCTCTGCTTACCCAGGAGCTTCTGCCTTTTAATTTTTTTAAAAATGAGTCCTTTACATTTTTCATTTATTTCTACTATTCTGCCAACAGATGAGGGCATTTTTAACTTATTAGGCATTATTATCAGCCACAGATTAAAAAAAAAATACCTTAGCACTGAAGGGCAGATAAAAAAGTGAGAGTAAATCCCCTGCGGTCCATTTCACAACCTCCTTTGTGCCCAATGATGGTGTGAAATTCTCAGTGAAGCTTCGGCTCCTGTTTTAACACACGCCCCATCCCTACTGTCTCTCAAGTGGGGCGTCAAACTGCAGGAGGCAGGGTAGGAAAGGCGGGCAGAAGGAAGCCAAGTGGCTGGGTAGCCAGAGGGATAGTGGGCACGCTCTCTCTGATCCACGCCAGGCACAGAGGAGCTGCTGTAGTGCTTCTGGAGAGAGACCCAGGCAGGCAGATGCTTGGTTAGGCTGTGAGAAAAGAAAGTAGCTCAGCACTCCAGAGGCCTAGGATGAAAGCGTGGCTGATGCGAAGTGACAGGAGTGTATCTATGGGATCTCCCTTCCTAGAGAAAAGCGAGTCCTGTTCTTTTGTGTTCTCTCCCAGAGGAGAGCTGCCTGCACGTCCCTGCCCTGCCAATCCATTTTTGCTTCCCACGCTCTCCCACTCTCACAGGGACATCTTTGTGAGAGTGTGATCTATGGCCGTGTCCACATAATCCCTCCCACCCCTCAATCACATTGGAACCAGTGTTACATGGTGCCATATTGCTATTCAAGGCAGTCTTGGCTGCTTCTGCCTCCCCCAGATACCCTGCTCTGTGTGGGACAGGAGCAGGAGGAGGCAGTGGTCAGTGTCTTATCCTCCCAACACATGTCCCCTGCAGTGCAGGGACAAAGCCCAGACTGATGGCAACTTTGCTTTATCAACATTTGCAAAGTGGCTGTGGAGGCTTCCTACACAGCTGCACATTTGAAATCCTAATGAACTGGAGAGTGGAGCTTGGATCTGATGAAACCATCATTGGCAGACAGGCAACCCTGCCTGAGCACACAGAATGCCAGGGACAGGGGTCCCCTGGAGAATAAAGATGCAGCTGGAAGATGGCGAACGGTCTCAGCCCAGCAGCCCTGACTCTGAGGGATTTTAATGGGAAACTAGGTTTTGTCCTCCTTCCATGTTGGTTGAATATCCAAAGGGCAGTGTAATGGATTGCAAAGAGCATCGACTTTGGATTCAGAAAAATCTGGGTTTGAGCCCTGGCTACACCACTTACTAGCTGTGTGACTTTGAGCAAATTACTTCCCCTCTCTGAGCCTGTTTTCTCTTCTGTAAAATGTTGTTAATATGGCACCTCTTTGATAGGTTATAAGGAATCAGCTAAATTCAGCATGTAAAGAGCTCAGCACTTAGTAAGCTGTCGATTGTTATTGTGATTGCTATTAATGGGAAGTCACCAGCTGCTATTGATCCTGTCCCACCACAGGAGAGGAGAGGCCATCAAGTTCAGGTTGTGACTGGGTTCGGGCAGTTAGAGCTTTGCCCTGTGGCACAAAAATGACATTGTTCTCCGTAAGATCCACTTTTCTGGCCTCCGCGGGTGGATCTGTGTCTGGTGGATATTGGTTCTCTGGGTGGATCTTATCCTGAGAACTGCCTCATGGGCCCAGCAGAAAGCTGACAATCCAGGTAGAAAGAGACCCTCAGTCAGCCACCAATTAGAGTGGGTCCTGTGTACTAGCCTCTGGGCTCTGAGCTGGGGATGCAACACTGGATAAATCCGACATGACCTCTTTGAGTGCACAGTCCTCTGAGCAGCAGACATTGAACAGTTCTGTGACCACATGTGAAATGAGGTTTTTAAAAAACATAAATTTAATTGCCAGTTATAGCAGGCTCAATGATGGCCTCCAAGGACAACGTCCATATCTTTATCCCTGGAACCCATGAATGTTACCTTACATGGTGAAAAGGCTTTGCTAATGTGATAAATGTGATGAAGTTAAGCATCTTGAGATGGAGAGGTTATCTTGCTTTATCCTCAGCTGGCTCCAATGTTACCACAAAGGTCCTTGTAAGAGGGAGACAGGAGGATCAGAGTTAATCATAAGAGGTGAGGATGGAAGCAAGATGTCTTAATCTTCAGGATGCTGTAACAAAATACCATAGACAGGGGGGCTGATAAACAACAGGAATATACTTCTTACAGTTCTGGAGACTGGGAAGTCCAAGATCAGCGCCTAGCAGATTTGGTGCCCAGCAGGACCTTTTCTTGATTCATGGATGGCACCTTCTTACTGTGTCCTCACTCTGGGGCCTGTTTCATAAGGACACTAATCCCCTTCATGGGGGCTCCACCCTCATGACCTCACCACCTCCCAAAGTCCCCACTGCCTGACACCACCTCTCCTGGGCTTAGGATTCAACATATGAATTTGGGGGAGATGCAAACATTCAGACCATAGCACAAGAGGTTGAGCGACGTCAGGAAGGGGCCACAAGCCAAGGAATGTGGGTGACCTCTAGAAGCCAGAAAAGGCATGGAAGAGGATTCTCCCTTAGAGCCTCCAGAGGGAACCAGCCCTGCCCATACCTTGATTTTAGGCTTGTAAGACACATTTTGGACTTCTGACCTCTAGAACCATAAGATGATAAATTTGTGTTGATTTAGGCCACGAGGTTTATGGCAACTTGTCACAGCAGTGACAAGAAACGAATGTCCCGTAGGAACACATGACAGAGTGAGCCTGGGGATTCAGGGAAAAGCAGATCCTCCCAGAGGGTTCTCTTCTTTTGCAATAGCCCTAGATGAAGGCAGTGGTGGCGCCATCAAAGAGATCTAGTCTGTATTGACAGAGTCGTGGCAGCAGGCTTCACGTAGGGGTTCTGAGAGTTGGACGTGGCTTTGATGCACTGAACAGAACACTGGGTCAGCATCTGGAGAGCCCCATTCCAATCCCAGCTCTCCTGCTTACTGGCTTAGTGACCCAAACACAGGGAGCTGCAGGGATAGGAGCTGATCTTCTGAGCTGCTTTGCCTCAGGGGACCTCCCCCCAACTCTGGGCCACAGTCACTGCAGAGATAGGCTGCCTGGGTCAACCCCTGGCTCCTAGTTCTTCTGCCAATGACCCTTTCTGTTTCAGGGGGGTCCCTTTCAACCTGTGGACCGCAGCCTAACATAGCAGGGACTGCCACCCAGCATTGCTCCCTTCATAGCCAGTGCTGAGCTGGCTCCTCCCTAAGTGGACTTCTACCCAGGGGCCCGCCCTCTCCCCTGTGCCTTTACCATCAATCCCTCATGCTGCACGGAGCAAAGTCTCTGTGGCCTGGATCCTCAGGGCGGGGGACTGGATCCTGGGAGCAGACTGGGAGCGGGGAAGCCGGTGGGGTTGGGGAATCCGGGAGGTCTGGCTGCCACTATTTCATGGGGGAGGAGTCTGCCCAAGTCTCCCTCTCAGGACCCTGCTTTGTCCTATTCTTTCCCCATTTCCAGGGTCTCCATGTGCCCACCTCCTCCCTCTCCCATCCCTGTGAGTCACCTCCAGTGACTCCGTGGGTCACACCTTGTTTCCAGTCTGCAGGCCTGTTGCTGCATCTGCCTCAGTCGCAGGGTAATCAAGGCTCCCCACCATGCTTCTGAGCCTCAGTTTAGGCTGGACACTAGAGAAGTTATATTTATTCATCATCACTTTTTTTTAAGAGACAAGATTTCACTCTGTCACCCAGGCTGGAGTGCAGTGGTACAATCAAAGCTCAATGCAGCCTCAAACTTCTGGGCTCAAGCAATCCTCCCACCTCAGCCTCCTGAGTAGCTGGGACTACAGGTGTGTGCCACCACACTCAGCTAACTTTTGTATTTTTTGTAGAGACAGGGGTCTTGCTGTGTTGCTTAGGCTTGCCTAGAACTCCTGGGCTCAAGTGATCCTCCCGCCTTGGCCTCTCAAAGTGCTGGGTTTACAGGCATGAGCCACCGCACCAAGCCTGGAAGTGATCTTTATTCCAGTTACTGGGCTCTTGGAGCCTAGGCCTGGCCATTGAGAGAAGACTAGAAAACAAAGCCACTCTCCACAGGCTGGGCAAGGGGTGTTGCGATGGTGGGTGGGGGGCTTTCCCAGCTGTTGGCAGGTTGCTCAGTAAGCGGGGAGAGCAGGGCAGGGCAGAGGAATCCTCTGGTATGCAATAGAGACAGGGCATCAGGAGTGGGGGGCATCAGAAGTCCCATCTAGTGTGACTGAATGCGAACCAGGTCAGTGGTGGCAGTTAACCTAGAAATAGTTAACACCCAGAGGTCATAAAAAGTGGGTCAGTCCCCAGAGTAGGGTCAGACTGCTGGTGCCCGGGACCATATGGGGCTCCATGCCCTAGAAACAGTGGGTTACAAGTGACCACATGGCCATTTAATTATGCCCAGTGTGGGAGAGGATTGAGACTTGAATATCTCGGGGAGGTAGTCAGACAAAAATCTAGAGCAAAATCAATTCACTGACACAAATATTTACGGAGCACATTCCACACGTCGGGTACTGTGCTGCCTGCCATGTGGCACTCCAACGTGCTCAAGGCAGAGACCTCCGGGGTGCAGTGGGGCAGCAGGGCAGGCAGCTGATGCAGCTTTCCTGGGCCACCCATCTTCAGAGAGTGAGAGGCCAGGCGAGGTGGCTAAGGCCTGTAATCCCAGTGCTTTGGGAGGCTGAGGCAGGAGGATCGCTTGAGGCCAGGTTTTTGAGGCTGCAGTGAGCTGTGATTGCACCACTGCACTCCAGCCTGGGTGGCAGAGAAAGCTCTCCAGATCTCCATCTGTCTCTCTCTCTCTCTCTGTTTCTCTCTCTCTCTCTCTCTCTCTCTCTCTCTCTCTCTCACTCTCCCTAGCTCTCTCTCTCTTTCTGTGTCTGTCTTTGATACAGGGTCTCACCCTGGGCTTGAGTGATCCTCCTGCCTCAGCCTCCCAAGTAGCTGAGACTAGAGGCACATGCCGCCACACCTGGCTAATTTTTAAATTGTTTGTAGAGACAACATCTCACTATATTACCCAGTCTGGTCGCACTCACTGTGGTGCCGAGGCTGGTCTCAAACTCCTGGGTTCAAGCAGTCTTCCCACCCCGGCCTCCCAAAGTCCTGGGATTACAGGCATGAGCCACTGCTCCAGACCTCCATCTCTTAAAATAATAATAATAATAATAATAATAATCATCATCATCATCATCAT